ACTTTTGTCAAGATGGAATTTATGTTTTGTTTGTTTGTTGTTTGAAGCCTTAGTCAGCAATATTCCAGCTATATGAGGGCAGTCTGAAAACAATTGAGTCTGGACCAGACAATCCAGTGTTTGAAATCATGAGATACAATTGGTAAAATAGGAAATATGGTAAGGTATCGACTTAATGACAAAGCCTAACAAGTCAGCCATTGCAAGATGCAGCAGCAGGCTGCTTTCAAATCAAAGTCGTTGGAGTTATGGGGTGTACCTGTGATTGATATCCAACATAAACTTTCTGAATATGGAATTAAGTGAGTGAGTTGGGTTAAACGCCACTTTTAACATTATTCCAGTTATATCATGGCATGTCAGCTAAATGTGGGAGGAAAGCCTGAAATGATGCAGGTCAGGCGTTTACCACTTCAGTGAAACCCACGAGCCCGGTTTTGGTGCTGACAAACCTGGAAACATAATCGGGGCGATCCGGGATTCGAACCCACAATCACAGGTTTCTGGCATGCCCAAGGGACGCAACTCTGCACTGCGAATCGCGGTGCCTTAGACGACTGGGCAACCCTTGCCCCATTTGATTTAAGATCAATTCAATTAGGAAAGTAAGTGATTAAGAGTACCATATTCGACGTAATAAGCGCCCAGGGCACTCTCAAAAATAGGAATAGGGGGGCTTTTATTAGAATATTATTTTGGTGAAAAAAACAGAGTTGAAAGATAAATTTCATAGTTTACACTGACAGCCTGAAATGTTTATATACGACAGATATATTTTTCCAGAATTTAATTGCCCATAATTAAGGTTGCACATAACACACGAGTGCGTATTATACGCAAATAAATAAGTCTTGTGTACATTGATCAATCGGAAGGGGTGCTAACTGGGATTGTTCACTAGCCAATATATTAGGAAATATCGCTGTGGGTGCTTATTAGAACAGGGCGCTTATTACGTCGAATACGGTATTTGTCTGTCGATACTATCAGCTCAGATAAACAATACGTGTGTTTTCAGATTTGTGTATCACTGAGAACATCATGGCGAGGAAGGTAATTTGGACCTGATGGCCTCCAGGCATCAAAAAGTATCCATATGCAGTGAAAAGTCAGAAAACTTTCCAGGATCCAATCCACAAAGAACAATGTGTTTCAACCAATCAGATTACAGAAGACAATCTCATTCATTTCACAAGAGCTTAGGGTTGCCTCAGTGTTAACTGATAGCTTAACTTGAATGATGCACTGATATCGACCATGGAGCATTGCGATGCATCAATAGTTTCATCCATCGTTGTATCAGGCTATCACTGTTGGATGTACAAAGAACACTTCAGGCAAATCAGCATCTTTAGTTCAAGAGTTAATTCTTACACTGGGAAACCTAGGAGTATAATTTGAGTAACAGCACTTACAGTTACACAATAAAAATGAAGAGTTCATTCAGGTCTTCTTTTTTGGCTTGCTTTACCATATTTATGGATCTGCCATCTTAAATATTGTAAATTCACAAAAAGAAACAAAATCAGAATGAAAATCAATGGTAAAGTCGCTTTGCCATTAACCACAAGACAGAAAGTGAGCAGGGCTTACCTATATACCATTATTTCAATATATATAGTTCAAAACATGAAAAAAGCAATATTTTCTCGGAATATTCACTTATCGAGATCAAACTTGGCACTGCCCCTCTCCTATTGGTATAGAAACTGTACCCCCAATTTAGAATTCCTTGAAGTAGTTTTTTAAGTCGCAAAAATGTTGAAGTAAAAAAATATTCTACAAAACAAATTTAATCCAGCTGTATTTTTTCAAAAAATCCAAATATTGAAAACAAATTTTGTAGACAGTGACCTGAGTGAAACTGGGACATTGTAGATAGTGCCCTGAGTGAAACTGAGACATTGTAGATAGTGCCCTGAGTGAACTGAGACATTGTAGATAGTGCCCTGTGAAACTGGGACATTGTAGATAGTGCCCTGAGTGAAACTGGGACATTGTAGATAGTGCCCTGAGTGAAACTGAGACATTGTAGATAGTGCCCTGTGAAACTGGGACATTGTAGATAGTGCCCTGAGTGAAACTGAGACATTGTAGATAGTGCCCTGTGAAACTGGGACATTGTAGATAGTGCCCTGAGTGAAACTGGGACATTGTAGATAGTGCCCTGAGTGAAACTGGGACATTGTAGATAGTGCCCTGAGTGAAACTGGGACATTGTAGATAGTGCCCTGAGTGAAACTGAGACATTGTAGATAGTGCCCTGAGTGAAACTGAGACATTGTAGATAGTGCCCTGAGTGAAACTGAGACATTGTAGATAGTGCCCTGTGAAACTGGGACATTGTAGATAGTGCCCTGAGTGAAACTGAGACATTGTAGATAGTGCCCTGTGAAACTGGGACATTGTAGATAGTGCCCTGAGTGAAACTGGGACATTGTAGATAGTGCCCTGAGTGAAACTGGTACATTGTAGATAGTGCCCTGTGAAACTGGGACATTGTAGATAGTGCCCTGAGTGAAACTGGGACATTGTAGATTGTGCCCTGAGTGAAACTGGGACATTGTAGATAGTGCCCTGTGAAACTGATCCTTAACTGTTGGACTGGCGTTGTGAGACAAAAACGACATATAATTTGTATACAACTTGAAGCTAAGAATGTGGCTGCACAATGGTAGAGCAAAATAGAATTCCTCTGACACTTAACTCATACATACAAGACTGCTTTAACATCATTATGTCAACTAAACTCATACATACAAGACTGCTTTAACATCATTATGTCAACTAAACTCCCACATACAAGACTGCTTTAACATCATTATGTCAACCAAACTCCAACATACAAGACTGCTTTAACATCATTATGTCAACCAAACTCCCACATACAAGACTGCTTTAACATCATGTCAACTAAACTCCCACATACAAGACTGCTTTAACATCATTATGTCAACTAAACTCCCACATACAAGACTGCTTTAACATCATTATGTCAACCAAACTCCCACATACAAGACTGCTTTAACATCATGTCAACTAAACTCCCACATACAAGACTGCTTTAACATCATTATGTCAACTAAACTCCCACACACAAGACTGCTTTAACATCATTATGTCAACCAAACTCCCACATACAAGACTGCTTTAACATCATGTCAACTAAACTCCCACATACAAGACTGCTTTAACATCATTATGTCAACTAAACTCCCACATACAAGACTGCTTTAACATCATTATGTCAACTAAACTCATACATACAAGACTGCTTTAACATCATTATGTCAACTAAACTCCCACATACAAGACTGCTTTAACATCATTATGTCAACCAAACTCCCACATACAAGACCGCTTTAACATCATTATGTCAACTAAATTCCCACATACAAGACTGCTTTAACATCATTATGTCAACTAAACTCCCACATACAAGACAGCTTCAACATCATAATGTCAACTAAACTCCCACATACAAGACTGCTTTAACATCATTATGTCAACTAAATTCCCACATACAAGACTGCTTTAACATCATTATGTCAACTAAACTCCCACATACAAGACTGCTTTAACATCATTATGTCAACCAAACTCCCACATACAAGACTGCTTTAACATCATGTCAACTAAACTCCCACATACAAGACTGCTTTAACATCATTATGTCAACTAAACTCATACATACAAGACTGCTTTAACATCATTATGTCAACTAAACTCCCACATACAAGACTGCTTTAACATCATTATGTCAACCAAACTCCCACATACAAGACTGCTTTAACATCATTATGTCAACCAAACTCCCACATACAAGACTGCTTTAACATCATTATGTCAACCAAACTCCCACATACAAGACTGCTTTAACATCATGTCAACTAAACTCCCACATACAAGACTGCTTTAACATCATTATGTCAACTAAACTCCCACATACAAGACTGCTTTAACATCATTATGTCAACTAAACTCCCACATACAAGACTGCTTTAACATCATTATGTCAACTAAACTCCCACATACAAGACTGCTTTAACATCATTATGTCAACCAAACTCCAACATACAAGACTGCTTTAACATCATTATGTCAACTAAACTCCCACATACACGACTGCTTTAACATCATGTCAACTAAACTCCCACATACAAGACTGCTTTAACATCATTATGTCAACTAAACTCCCACATACAAGACTGCTTTAACATCATTATGTCAACTAAACTCCCACATACAAGACTGCTTTAACAACATTATGTCAACTAAACTCCCACATACAAGACAGCTTCAACATCATTATGTCAAGTAAACTCCCACATACAAGACTGCTTTAACATCATTATGTCAACTAAACTCCCAAATACGAGATCGCTTTTTGCGATCCATTCATGTCATTTTATGCCCAGTAAAATCTGTTTCAGCAGATAATCAGACTGGTATTCTCTGGTGTTGCGGTTTACTATTTACAGCATTATGTCTAAACTCCCACATACAACTCAGACGGCTTTTACAACACAACATCAACAAAATCAATGGTTTCTTTCTGGACCCTCAACAAAGTCATTCAATAAAACCCTCAACATGAATCCTCAGTGCAAATCATGAGCTGTGACCATCAACCCATCCTTATCCGAGAATGGGTAAGAGCAGAAACCTACGCTAAAGCTAATAGAAAGACATAAAGGCAAACACAAGGAGCCCTAATCCCAATAATACGTCTATCCATCTACAGAACATGATAGAATAGTCCATAACTACATCAAACACAAATCAGGACAGAAGTTAACCAAATTATCCAAACAGTCTGTCATAAATAATCCTTCTATGACAAGGACATAGCACTCCATCAAACGTCTCCACCAGTACCCTTTCAAAGGTCTGTCTATAGACCAACTCGCACCCCTTGTCATATAAACAACATATCACATGTCCCACAAAGATCAACTATCTTATCAATGGACAGAAGTCTGGCCTTCTACTACACATACTTCAAACTATCCATTCATCAGGTGGCCCGGACAGTATCCTCGGTCCTTCACACTCCAGTGATCCAGCTTTGACAGCAGATTCAACAACAGTTCAGTCCGATGTTGCCGTCTGCTCGACGTCTGTCTGTTTCAGGTCAACACTCTCACACAGGTGCAGCCGAAAGGCTAACTCTTCCCATTCAACAGTTAGCCGAAGGTCCCAATATCCATCCCGCAGCCTTGCTGGTCTGTAGATGACTAATTCATGCCGATGTAGGGAGGCCTGATCCCGGACCACATGGCCGCTAACAGCATTCTAACGGTAATATGTCAATGCCCGGAACAGATCAATACTCTCCTTTCATAAGTTGTGTCATTGTCACTGACTGTCTCACAAGACTGGTACAGATTCCACTGGTTGATCATCTAGTCAAATACTGCAATATCTGCATCTTGGGCCTGTGTTATAGTCAAACTTAGTCTGATTTATGCTAATCATCGATCAATAAGCAAAGGGAAGCAATTCACTTACAGAGGTATTGATCTCAGAGGATGATAGCCGTTTAGAGTAGCTTCCCTTTTAGATTCCAGCACAGTCAGTACCTATAGGTACTAGAGATGAACGTGTATCCTCCACTATTTCTATGCAACAAATGTCACTCAGACACTGTATCAAACACTGATTCTGGGATTGGATTGTTCTGATTTGTTTGTTTGTTGTTGTTAAATGCCAAACTCAGCAATATTCCAGCTATATGACAGCGGTCTGTAAATATTTGTCTGGACCAGAACATCAGTGATTGATATCATGAGCATCGATCCACGCAATAGGGATACGATGACCCGCATCAACCAAGTCAGCGAGCCTGATCACCCGACCCCGTTAGTTGCCTCTTAAGACAAAAATAGTCGCCTTTTACGGCAAGCATGGGTTGCTGAAGACTTATTCTACCCCGGATCTTCAAAAAATTGTCCTGAAACACTGACAGTTTCCCATTCAGCACAAGAACTACAAGGGCAGTGAAGCTGCTCGCTACTTTCAAAGTTCTGTCATCTGGCCAATAGCCTAGCTAGGAATATGGGTACGGCTACTGGCCAGAAAACAAAACTTTGAAAGTAATTTCCAACAATACAAAAAATCTATCACAATACACTGGATGTGTCATTTTCTTGCATGGATGTCCAATTCGAATCTCCTGTCTCCATAGTCACAGTGTAAATGTCTTATCAGGTGAGTGAGTGAGTGAGTGAGTGAGTGAGTGAGTGAGTGAGTGAGTGGGGTTTAACGCCGCTTTTAACATTATTCCAGTTATATCTGGCGTGTCAGTTTAATGTGGGAGGAAAGCCCGAAGTGATGCAGGTCTCAGACGTTTACCACTTCGGTGAAACCCACGAGGACGGGTGCTGACAAATGTAGAAACATAATCGGGGCGAACCGGGATTTGAACCCACAATCATAGGTTTTTGGTGTGCCTTAGATGACTGGGCCACCCGTGCCCCCTTATCAGGTGAACAAGCTTCATACAGTGACATACTGTTTACAGAACAACTAATCACATCAAATAGCTACAGGGTTGTTGCTTTGGAGCAAAGCAATATTTATTCACGCATTCATTTCAAATAATACTCAAAAAACGTTAAAAACATCCGATTCTTTCATATTACCATAAGATTAATGATCAATTTAAGAAAGAATTGAGTGGTCCTCAACTTGTTTTGAGTGGTATATTTTAACCTGGACTTATATATGATGTCAATCTGACAATGTCTCTGAAATACTCTTTCAGGAATTCAAACTTGTACTGATTTAATAACTTGATATATATATGATATATACATCCATCTATACAATAACACATATATATATAAAGGGCATAGCTGTGTAACATTGATATGTCAAGCTTATTAATCTTTCAAATTTGCTAAAATCCAGACTTTTTGACTAGGAATTAATTGATATATCAATAGTGTTTCCCTGTACATATGGTACAGATTATATTGTCGTAAGAGGCGACTAAAAGGGTCGGGTGGTGAGGCTCGCTGACTTGGTTGATGCATGTCATCGTATCCCAATTGCATGGATCGATGCTCATGATGTCAATCACTGGATTGTCTGGTCCAGGCTCAATTATTTACAGACCGCTGTCATATAGCTGGAATATTGCTCAGTGTGGCGTTAAACAACAAACAAACAAACAAATCTCTGTGTGGGATTCCAGGTACAATGGTTGTCAGTAAAATAATGCTTGTCATAAAAATTGACTGAAATGACGGACTGTGTCGGCTTGGCAACTCGGCTGAATGCCTGGATTCTGTGACACTCTGTTTATTGACAGGTGGTATTGACATAGCCTACAGCGGCACTCAACAACATTCGGTCACTCGCTATATTAGTTTCCTGTGCGTCCTTTTAAACACTTTTAACATCTGTCAGAACTGATTGATGATGACAATGATAGTTTGATACAGATGCTGGTGAATTCACAACCTTCCCAGCTCCAGAGGACTGATTAATCCAAACAAATCATTATTTCACCTCAAAGGTCAAATGGTGTACAGTTATAATATTCGCACTGCTATCGTTTTCTACTATGAACAAGTCAAAAGCATGTGAAATGATCATAGTTGATATGTTCATACCGTAATTGATGCAATTAGTGGCAGGGCTAAATCGGAGACAAAAGGTGGGACCTTTTTAGGACATATGTTAAGCCAAATTTAGGTAACCTCAATTCCTAAACTGATTGGGTGGTGAGTATGTTTTTACACCGCTTTTAGCAATATTCCAGCAATATCATGGCGGAGGAGACCAGAAATGGGCTTCACACATTGTACCCATGTCAGGAATCGAACCCGGGTCTTCGGCGTGACGAGCGAACGCTTTAACCACTAGGCTACCCGACCGCCCCTGGGGTAAGATGAAGAAAACGATTGGGTTTGGGGGCAAGGATCAAAATAAACAAGAGTTTGCCACTAACGTGGCTATATCCCCCACCCCTGTTGCAGAATTTGAGACATAATTAAATCTAAACAAACCCAAACCTTTTTAAACCAAGTTGGAACTTGTCATGGAAATTGTAAAAAAAAGAAGACTTTGGAACCTAAGTCCATCTTGTTGCCATGGAAATGTAAAAAATAAAAATTTCGAAAATTTCGAAATAGCAAAAGGCACCAGTTCAGCATGTACCTAACAGACCTGCAAAGTTTCATGAAAAAATATTGAACGGTTTATGAGTTATGCTCCGGAAACAAAACATGACGGACGGACATATGGATGGACGGACAGACGGAGCCCGTTTCTATATCCCCCGCCAACTTTGTTGGGCGGGGGATAATAAGTACGAAAGGGTCATTGTAAGGACAGTGATTTTCTGGAAACAAAGGGCAATAGGATATTTTCATACGTTTCTCAACTCTTGACAGGACATACTTCTTCATGCTGACCAACTATTGAAAATTAACCATAGTCATATTTAAAAATGGATGGGTTTTTTTTAGTAGGATATAGCATGATATAAGGGAAGGGGCACTAAGAACCAAAAAGTACAGCATGTACCGATCTTGATACTATATTTACAGGCACTTATTGTCACCAGAAGCTGAACAGTTGCATCTGGACACAAAGCAATGTCATCATCAGGACACGAATGACCATGTGACCCCATGGGATTCAGGGGCAGATAACCCTGTGAAGAAACCTGGTCAGACGTCCCTAGCAACCTGCAGCTGGAATATTGCTGAGTGCAGCATTAACATTACCTAGACGAAAATCATGGGTAGATATGTCACCAAAACATCTTGGAAAAGGTTGTGAAAGTACCAGGGATCAGTTGTTCCTCATGGGCAATATACATATGTGACTGACCTGTGAATATCTGGGGTAGAATAGGTCTTAAGCATCCAATTCTTGTCGTAAAAGGCGACTATGCTTGTCGTAAGAGGCGACTAACGGGATCAGGGGTGGTCAGGCTCACTGTCTTAGTTGATGCATATCATTGTATCCCATTTGCGTGGATCAATGCTCATGATGTCAATCACTGCATTGTCTGGTCTAAACTCGATTATTTACAGACAAAACTGCAGAAAGTAAATTTTAATGCAGTGAATCCAAAACTGAGGTATTTCATCTTGTCATTGTCATTAATAATACCCAGAACATGCCTGTTCCAAGTCTCAACTAAGTCAGCGATCCCGTTAGTCGCCTTTTACAACGATTGCAACACACAGGCAGACCTCCTCACTGTCAACACATGCTTATCTAATCTGCTGTAGTGGAAAACAGGTATCAACAAGAGTCAACAGCGCTATCAATTTTCACACTTGACGGAATTCACACCTCGTACACTGCCACCCTGTGACAGACGGAACTCACACCTCGTACACTGCCACCCTGTGAATTTGACTCACTTAACAATCAATTCCACCTCCCCCACTTGCGTATGGGACATTTTAAGTTTAACTCACTTTACAATCAGCTCCACATCCCCCACTAGCGTATGGGACATTTTAAGTTTAACTCACTTTACAATCAACTCCACCTCCCCACCTAGTGTATGGGACATTTTAAGTTTAACTCACTTTACAATCAACTCCACCTCCCTCACTAGCGTATGGGACATTTTAAGTTTAACTCACTTTACAATCAAGTCCACCTCCCCCACTAGCGTATGGGACATTTTAAGTTTAACTCACTTTACAATCAAGTCCACCTCCCCCACTAGCGTATGGGACATTTTAAGTTTAACTCACTTTACAATCAAGTCCACCTCCCCTACTAGCGTATGGGACATTTTAAGTTTAACTCACTTTACAATCAAGTCCACCTCCCTCACTAGCGTATGGGACATTTTAAGTTTAACTCACTTTACAATCAAGTCCACCTCCCCCCCTAGTTTATGGGACATTTTAAGTTTAACTCACTTTACAATCAACTCCACCTCCCCTACTAGCGTATGGGACATTTTAAGTTTAACTCACTTTACAATCAAGTCCACCTCCCCCACTAGCGTATGGGACATTTTAAGTTTAACTCACTTTACAATCAAGTCCACCTCCCCCCCTAGTTTATGGGACATTTTAAGTTTAACTCACTTTACAATCAAGTCCACCGCCCCCCCTAGTGTATGGGACATTTTAAGTTTAACTCACTTTACAATCAACTCCACCAACTACCCAATTAATCTTGTGTATACAGTTGATCCCTTCTGCATGATGTACAAAACATTACTTTGTACCCACTCGCCTGTAACAACTGCCATGTCCATCAACTCCCTCGTAATTGTATACCAACTTTCATCTTGTCACAAATGGCTTCACTTTAATGTATCTTATAATACCTGGCTTCGTGTGTGTGTGTGTGTGTGTGTGTGTGTGTGTGTGTGTGTGTGTGTGTGTGTGTGTGTGTGTGTGTGTGTGTGTGTGTGTGTGTGTGTGTGTGATGTTCTCCCACCCTGTCTTTCCCCTGATAAAGGGGAAGCAAGTAGCCCTGAAATGTACTTTACAATTCACATATTTAATGTCTGCCTTATAACATTGTAATGAAAGCTGTATTGGTTTTTATTGAAACACAGCATCAGTGAATCAGTACACTAAACTGTGACACACCATCACCCAGGTCACACTTACTGTGTACAGGTGAGCCAAGTATGCCAGTTTCTTACTGTTCTCAGGTGAGCGACGTATGACACTGACTGACCCAGGTC